AAATTGGTAGAATACACCAAACCAGGGTCTCGTATGCGCACATTTACGGCAATATCATTTATGAAAGCATGGGATGACATGCCTCTAGCCCAAGGCATTTTCGCCTACAATTCTCCTTGTGCTCCCATTTTTAACACGGGTTTAAACTTGTCGGGAATTTGTATTCCTTTACCAATAAATCCTTCAAGGAGGGTAGATACAGTATACGGAAATGGTGCTTCTTTTGGTGTTGATACAGAATCTAACCTTGCCATTTGTTCAGGCGTTAATCTATTTATTTATTTATTTAATATAAATGATAAGTAATCATTTGATTTAATACAAAGATACAGTAATGAAAATTTAAAAAAAATTTACTTGAATTCAAGAGCTTTAAGATTTTCAACTAATTGAGTTTTTGTTCTAGCACCAATAAGAGGAGAAGTAATGCCAGGTTTTTGTGATATCCAATTCAAAGCGACCTTTTAATTTAAATAAAAGAATAAAATAAACGAATTATAAAACTGTAAGTGATTATAGACAATTTAACATGAAGTTACCTGAACAGGACTTCTCTTGGTTTCGGCAGCAATAGCCATAACTTCATCAAGGATTTTCCAATTTTGTTCATTTGCTGCTGCACCAATAACTAAATTATTACGCAGATTGCTCAGATCATCACCCGTTTTTGCATTAGCTAATGATTCTCTGGTGTATTTCCCAGTCAAGAATCTAGGCAAAAACAATAAATAAGATTATAAATCATACAGGTAAACTCATGCATAATCACACAAAGCATCAAAGAAACAAGATATCTATCGTTATATCAATACCATATATTTGAGATCATTTCTGCTTACCAGTAACACACCCTCCTTACAAAGTACCCCCCAAATAACGTACCCTCTACCATACAACGTACCCGGGGGTACAAATCAAAATTTTATCACGTGAAATTAGTGTACCCGGGTACCTTGCATGGAAAATTACGGTAATCGTGATTACATCACACGTGACCCGAAGTGGATAATATTTTCGAACTAAAAGAATAGAAGAGTCAGTGTTGAATAATCCGGATACAATTAAGCAACTAAGCGGACCTATCTAAGATCCAGCAACATCATTTCAAGACCCGAAAGACCTTGATACTC